GCTGTTTCTGAATCAGACTTTCCCAGAGGGTTTGAAAAATGTAGATTCCTGAGCTCCCTGTCAGGATAACAGAATCAGAACCTCTAGGGGGGTTTTTATCAGAATCTGAACTGTCAACAGCTTCCCATCAAGAGGATTTTTATGTACCTTTAAATTAGATAACCACCCAGGAGGTCTACAAACAAATGTCTCTATTTTTCTGCTTCACAACATTTTATACACACTATTTTAGGTCAAAATGATTATCAAGTGCATCCTCAATAGTTCAAAAAAATTTTAAAGGCAGAGTCCTAATGGCTTAGAAATTGGAGTTTCTTAGCCTTTGCTGGGGACTGAAGGTAGAAAGTGGTGAAGAAAAACTGAGCGAGCTGGTTGAAATCTTTTCCCCTTCTCTCCCACCAAGAGTTAATTCCCAATGCAGTCCATCTTTTTCACACCATCCCAGACCTGTCTTCGGTCAGAAAAAATAAACTCACAACTTTTCATGATTCAAAAAGATAGAACACAAATGTGCACAAGAAGTGGATCTCTCATCTGTGAATTTAAAAAAGGGGTCCTAATCTCCCAATTTAAAGCAATGATTAAAACAGAAAATTGATTCAAAACTGTTTGAAAGCACTGATGGGCACAGGGAGAGAGAGAATAATGATTTAATAAACTCAGACGTGTGAAAAGAATTGTTGCACAACACACTGCTGAAGTAGAGCTTGAGAACAAGGACTCTGATGTCCGAGTTCCCCGGGGTTGAGATGAGAGTTAGAGCCTCACTAGCTGGGTGGCCTTGACCTTGTTTAATTTATCTGTGCCCCAGTGCCCTGATCTCTACAATGGAACAATAAAACCTACCCCATGAGGTTGTTGTGAGGACGAAGTTAATTGGCAGATGTCAAGACTTAAAACAATACATGGTACATTGTATGTTTGCAATGGTTACAAGTACAAGTCTTTTTGGAAATCAAGATGATCCCCAAAAGTTGCATTGTCTAAACCCCATGGTTTACAAGCTTTAAAGAAGTTATTATACAAAGAGAATAGAAACCTTTGTAAATCAGTAATATCCTGTTTTATTTGCTTGATTGACCTCCCATACTTTTCCTTTAAAATTATTGATTATAAAGGGAATGGTAATCTACCTCTCAAACTCCTTCTCTTGCATCTCTGAGTTCTGATTATAATTGGTTGTAATTTGAAGACCTTGATTATTTATCACCATCAACCCACAATTACAATACCCACAATTGCATGTTTCCATTATTGAAAAAAATCACAAAGAAATGCCAAATTAAAAAGACAATCCTGTTGTCTATATATCTGTTGAGAGCTAGTTTTCAAAAAATGTTTAGTGTCTGAATTCCTTTTTATAACATCCTCTAGAAGAAAAGAATGTGAAACATAAAAATCTCTGAAAGCCTGTCTTTCTCAGATCTATGAGAAGTAACAATCTCCATTTCAGCAGCCGCCTCCCCGAACAAGGCCACATTTTGTTGCTGGGAGAATAAATCTAATGGATATTTATTGTAAGTCCAGGCAAAACCCATTTTTCTGAAGAAAAATTTTCTAACATGAGATCGATGTTTTTTAGTCAAACAGCTACTTTATACTTTGGAAATTAAACAAATAAACAGTATAAAACCATACGCTCATTGATTCCTCCAACTCTTCTGTGAGGATGTCTAGTATCTAGTTCATCTTGTAATTTTATAGCCCAAAGGTAACTCTCAGGATATTATGCCTAATATCAAACGTTTTTCCACAATTCTGACCAAAGTATCAAACGTTCGGCATCATGGAATGATAACCCATTGTATAACAGTCGATGCTATTAGCTCCAGCATTCTTAACAATCTAGTGCAATATTGTTGTGACTTAGGGTAACTTCGATTTGTAGGACACTATTTAACTTTAGATTAAGGGAATCAAAAAATATAAAACAAATATTTTTTACCTCTTGAACCAAATATACAGCAACATATTATGAAATATTGGCTAAAAAGTTTTGCCAGCAACTGACCAGAAGAGGAAGAAAGTAGGCCACGCCCGATGGGATGTGTTCGGTCCAGTTCCCTGCACCCAAGTCAGGCCCCTTGCTTTCTACTGTCATATTAAGTAGTTATTTCCATGTAAGGGGAGTTCGTTTAATTACGCTTGTCTCTTTAAATTTATGTGCTGACACTTTATAATTGTAGGCCTGGCTCTCACTGTCCTATGGATCACTTAGGACACACTGAAAGTTATTTATTTTATTATTTATGGAGTGCTGGTTATAGTCAAGGGATTATATTAACCTGTTTAAAAATGATTTTTTTTAAGTTGAGAAAAGTTAGGAATTGACATCTATTTACATAAAATTTTATATTGACATCAAAGATGTTAACATATCATGAAAAAGGCCGCACTGGGGAAATGAAAATACAACAAATTTTTTGTGTGTTTGCTATTGGAAAATGGCTGATGTAAATACTTTAAAATCATTATTGTTGGATTTATTATTTATAATGGCATAGAAGTAACTGCTCAAAATATCTTTATTTTCTTGTTTCAACAAAGAATGGCAATATGTTTTGGTATATAAGACCTAGTGCATGAGTTTCGAATTCGATTATATATCAAGTTTACACAAAGCCATATGTATGAAAGGGGATCTTTTAAAAAAAACTTTATTTGAGAAAGGAAGAGACTTATAACAGAAGGCAAGAAGAGAAACATACAAACAATATATTTACAACACAAAACAAGAGATCACCATCGAGGGTGTAAATTATAATAAATACAGTAGATTTTAAAAGAGACAATTATCAATTAGCTCTAAGATTATTTAAGTCCAGCTTTTCTTTTCACTGGTTCCAGGTAGTTTCTTGATTAAATTCAAAGACTATCAAATTCAAACAATTAACGTCCACCAACTGTACTGATGAAGCTCTCTCAAATGACATTATAAAAAATAGGTTTATTTTTGTTTGTGATTACATATTTTTGAAGTAATATTATACAAAAGTCTGCTCAGCCACATGTTCCTCCCCAAATAAAATGTATTTTAAAAGATGCACTATCCCTTTTTTATGAGATTGAAAAAAAGACTTTAAAGAAATGTATATTTATGAGATGGAAAAAATAGACAATTTTATCCTAGGAATGCCATATTTTTAATGCAAAAAAAACTGACAAAAGTCATTTTAATCTGAAGGAATATACTAACCAAAATATGTTGGTAATAGGAAGTGTTATAGCTATTTGTCAAATTATCAGAAGGACTTTCGTTATATGGAAAAGTTTTAAACTTTCTAACTACTAGTTATATTAATTTAATTTGAATGGAGACTTTTTAAAAAAGGATAATGTATCTTTAGCAGTAACCTTTTTTTAAGAAATATTTTTAAATGTCACAGCAAAATGTAAACAACACGTGCCAGTAACATACAATTGTACAATGTCTACATTTGGCAAAACTGCTGCATCTCCTTTGAAACAGGATACTACACCTTAAAATACCTCGGATTTAGAAATATAAATATTTTAATAGAAAAAAAACTTTACAAAGATTCTAGGTCAATTTGGATTATTCGTATTAAAGGGGTCTTAATACAACGAATCTTTAACTAGTTTAACAAAAGTAAACCTATAAAACAAGGTAAACATATCAAAAGGGAGTATTGAAGGAAATGTTCCAGTGAAAAGCTTCCTTAACAATTTCCCTACTTGCGGTGTTATTTTCTTAGACAATAAATCAATTCATAGAGTGCCCTTTAAAAACAGAAAGCGTAAAACACTATCCTCCGTTTTTTTCCCCTACATTCCCCAGTACATGAATCACTTGGACTTCCTGTTTCCACAAGGCATTTCCTCTTCAGCCTCAGAGAATCAGCTTTCTGTAGAACAGCAGGAACCTGACAAAGAACCGACTTAAATAAACAGTCTTCTGTTGCCTTCAAAGTTGTTTGTATTTTAAAGCATCAAAGGACACAGTCCTTCTGAAGGTGCATTATGTACAAGTGGGTTCTTTTGTTAAGCCTCGCTCGCCTAATTTTTTATTTGCCAGAATGATATGGTGTATGCTGTGCCATTGTGGGCTTATATTTAAGAGACCCTGTGGACAAAGATTATATAATATGATACACCTTCTTCTTTAAAACGTGATTTTGACTTCGTATCAAATACTAATCACACTGTCACTGTCTTCTATGATTGCAGATGCAGTGGAGTGTCTGACCGGGCCATAAGGCTGCGCATTACTTCTTGCCAACACTTGCATCTGTTTCATTTGATCATATTTTTGATAGACAACATCATCAAATAACACAAGATAAAAGTAGAATGAGCAGTGCTAGGTGAGACATAATGTAATATTTAAAATAGTGCTGTACTTTGCATCTATATATTTAAAACCACCTCTACTCCTAATATTTTCAATTGCAATCTATACAGTAACCTAAAACTACTGGTATGGGAACCAGAACATTTCACTTAACAAAAATGAGAGAGAAAGGAGGGGGCAGTCTACCTTTGACAGTATTCAAGACTGTAGTATGTTATACTATGTACAACAATGTGAAAATTGAATTCTATATATCAAAACAAATCAGGAACGAATAGAATGTTTCACTGATCAGACTGGGAAACTCTACCCAGAAGTTACTGATCTCAACAGATAAACTAAAACAACAGTGAGTTCGTTGTCCTTAGAAGTAATTGATGTGGCAGGCTTTGGGGTGAATTTAAAGCCTATTAATTACTACTTGGATACTTATGTTGTATAATATTAGTGTACCAGGTATTTTCTTACCAGTGAAGTTTCAATGAAACCTTGATATCTATATAGAGATCAGTATATAGAGAGATCTATATATAGATACATGTACATTAGTTAGAGTCCTTAAACACTAAAACCAAATTACTCAGAAATAGGAAATAATACCCATTTATGAAAACCTGCAGTGCATTTCACGTTCAGATCAGATAATGACTTTAATTACAAATCCTGGAGCTAAATCTTTGCCTATTACCTGTTGCATAAAAGCAGCCTGCTCCCCAGATTCCATTTCCTGGATCTGAGCATCTTCGTCACTGTCCACTGGTTCCTCCTTGACCTTCACAGCCCCAACTTGTCCCAGGGTGTCCTCCACACAAGCACTGCTGTCACTCCTAGTGCTGTTGCCACTAGAGGGCGCTCTGTCTTCCTGCATCGCCTGGTCCCCCTGAAGCTCTTCCTCTGCTTCCTCCAGGTGACTGCCTGGTTGCTTCAGTTGTTCAATAGATTTCGAAAGCAGCTAGAAGAGAGTGTTGAGGGGTTCAAAATTCAATAGTTCTTGGTGGCAACAGAGCAGCAAAATACACTTTGATTTCTAATGACTCTGTAACACACTTAGAAAATGGTGGAAAAGAGGTAAATAGTAAACATTTTTCCTGTGGAAACCATAACATTTTCACAAGAACAAGTTGTACTGAGTGAATTTAGTCCAAATACACATGGACATTTTTTCTCAAAATAGGAAATGTAGTGGAAATGATGGAAAGGTAATCAAACATTTCCACAAATCTCCTTTTTCCAGCAACTGTCAACTACTGTAAAAGACAGAGCACAAATGCTCACAGTTCTTCTTATCCATCTAATTTTCCTCTACTTCGATGGTCAAATGATAACATACTTTTTTGTAAAACTAGAAATATTTTGAAATTCTTAACTTTAAAAATATGCAAGAATGGAAAATTTTTTGGTGGCATTAAAACATATCCAAAGGTAAATTAAAAACCAGACATTAATTTTAATTTGAGAATTATTATTTAGACCTCTTCTTGACCTTATAAATTAAATCAGACTTCCTTTTCAGAAGCATATGCATTAACTGCTCAGTGATTTAAAAAGATAATTGACAACATAATTTAAACTGCAAAATACCATCGTTTAGAAGTTTGAAATATAGTTTAATAGTCTGAAAACTGTCAAGATGATTTCGCCACACACAGGCCTTTTGTTTTATTTGACAACAACTCTACTGGCTGATCATCTGCGGATCTTGAACTGTGTTTTCAAAAGTGGTCAGTTTTCCGCTGAGTCAGTGCCCACGTAAGCAACATGCCAGTTATGTAATAAGCAGCACTCAGAAGAATTCCACCACTAAAGTCATCAAGACAGACTTTCCCATGTAAAATTCAAGTTTACCTTCTACTCATACCTGCCTATGTTTTTAAAATTAAATACATGCTTTAGCGTTAGAATACACAAGTATTCAAACTCTGAAGCCTGCAGTAACCTCTTTAGGCAGAAACCTCAAATGGCCCTGCACACACTGATGAACCTTTCAATTTCTCTGTAGGTAGAACTATGGGGTGTTTTCATTCATTTTTCAACAAATATTTATAGAGTGCCAACTATGTTCAAGATACCATTCTAAGCACTGAGGAAACAGCATTGCCCTGTCCTCGTGGAGTCTATGAGTTAGTGTGTTAGAAAGGCACCAAAATGATAAGCAAACTCATTCTGGTTTTCAAACAGGATAAACGAAAAAGGAAGAAACACAGGGTGATAGAGAGTGCATACCAGTTGGCATGGAGTGGACTGTGGTTTATTAAGAAGTTTGCCCTGAGAAAGTGCTGTGTTTAGCCTGAGATGTGAAAGATGAAGGATGGAGAGGAAGAGTCGGCGGCCTTGTGTGTGAGGAGTGGAGATAAATGGGAAGAGCGGATGTGGCAGAAAGCACAGTGTGTGGGTGGAAAAGGATCCCCGTGCATCCGCGCTACTGCAGTGCCAGAGGGCTGTGAACCCAGGGACCGACGGAGAGTGATGGGGGACGGTGCTGCACAGAGGGACGCAATGTGTGATGTGTTTGGGCTGAGATTCAGATTCAAGGAAAGAGAACTTCAGGCAAACTACATATAAGATCTAAACATCACCACTCGTAAGTGAGATATGATCAAGCTAAATGAATACATACCAATCAACATTCATATTAAAATGAACAGGCAAATTTAAATATGAATTTCCTTTGTGTCTGCAGTCTAACTTCTATTGTTCCTGGGTAGTCAGCATCAGGGAAACATTCATCCCATCATGTTTTAAGTGCCTGTAAGTACTTTCTGGGGAACCATTTGCAGGAATTTTGTACCAATTCTAAATACTAATCAGCAACTGCATTTATGTACGTATGTATGTATGAATATATTTATTTATTGTTAGAAACATTGATCTGCTGTTCCACTATCTATACCCTCATTGATTGACTCCTGTATGTGTCCTGACTAGGGGTCGAAGCCACAATGTTGGTGCATGGGAACAATGCTCTAACCAACCAAACTATGTGGTCATGGTTCTTCATGTCTCATATACAAAATACCTGGCACACTGCTAAGAGTCTGGAGAAAAGAGACAATGTAAAATTCCTGAGCCTTGACTACACAATTGCAGAATCCTGTTGAACTGGCTATTCAAAACAGAACATGCAACACCGGAGAAAACAAGCAGTATTTTCACGGAAAAGTCCCAGTTTTGGCTGGCACACCAGGGGAAAGGACATCGAGTAACACCCACTCACTTTCAGGGAGACAGAGAGCTAGCTCATCACTCCGTCCTGTAACCCTACTTCCATCACTCACCTCAAGGCAACACAGAAGAGCAGGTTAGAGAACCTTGTGGGAAAGAAATTTACCTAAGAAAAGGTACTAGACAGGTGGCGAGGGCTGCAGGCGCCCCTCAGAAGGACTATCTTCAAGAAGACTGCTGCTAGTCATCTGGCTGGGGGCTTACTGAGCTGGGGAAAATGCTCCCTCTCACTACCGAAGCTTAGCTGGGCAAGTTCATGGGAGCTAGACCATCAGAGCTGGTGGGCCAAGGACAGCTGTGAGTCAGACAGACACCACTGAGAGGTGTTCAAAAGATCTGCCCAGAAGAACTGCTATGGGGACAAGAGAAAAAGAAAAACAACGATATGGTGTGTGCAGTCATTGCCCAGGAATCGAGGGCCATGCATGAAAAGTTAGCCGGAGAGTACACGACCAGTGCCCAGGAAATGCCACATTAAAAGTCCCTGCTTACTAGAGGGTGACTCTGCATCTTATCCAGCGTCTGGGTGCTTGACTACAAGAGTATTTAATAACCAAGAGGAAGCTACAAACACCACCCGCTAAGTACAAAGACTCTCCTGCTGCTATTCCTCTCCTTCCCAGTTCCCACATGGCCTCTCATGCCTTGTCCTCCTCACCTCCAGGGGCCTTGCCCCCTGCTGCACCTCAGCTCCCAGCTTCACAAGCACACCCTACGCTTGGTCTTTAGCCGTAACTGCACACTCACCTAAACCTCACTTCCAAACATCATTCTTTTCTCCTGGCTCGTCCTCAGAATATTCTGACCACAACTGTGCCTCATCTCGGGAGGGTCCTCAAAGCTATCGAGCCAACCACATTTTCACTGCCCGTCACCGCCACCCCTTTTCCCTCACTTCCCTCCGTGCTGGATGAGGTCCCCCCTCCAGCATTACAACTCCCTCCCTTACATTGTCTTCAACACTTCTGCCTTTTGTAAATTAAGACTTCTAACTTTGGTTACCAATAAATCTCTGCCAAACTCAAGCAGCTGAAGACGCTAAGGCAGCGAACAAATTGCAATCATGATGAGTGTTTGTCTTCAAATTCATGATCACAACCCTCAGATGGGCCTTTGGGCTATCCGGCAATCCTACATTTCTCATTTACTCTCACTCTTTCAATGACCACTTCAAACCACCTCCTCTCTCCTCAAACTTCTAATATCCAGACTTTTTCCTTACTCCCTGCTGATACTTTTGCTTCTTATTTCACCAAGAAAATAGAAATATCAGTAGAGAAACTCAACTGTCCCGCTCACCCTCCTCCCATTACAATGAAAGCCACGTCTTGCACTCCTACTGCAGTCAGTCCCTCAGCATGATGCCCTGGATCTCTCCACTCCTGCAGTAGTCCGTCTACGCTGTCCCCCATCGCACACCCCCTCTGCTGGAGTATTCCGTTTGCACACTTTCAGTACTTCTATCCTTCTTAAGTCAAACCTCCCTTGACCACTTCTTTCAAAACTATCATTTACCTTCCTGCACAGTAAAGCTCCCTGAGTTATTTCTCTTCATTGTCTTTATTTTTTCCTTTCCCATTAGAATTCACAACAATTACGCTTCGGTTCCAACTATTCGACTGAAATCCCTCTTGTTACAAAAGTCAGTGAGTGCATAAATGCCCAAACCATTGGCAATTTAAATAGAATATTAATACACGTCAGTGAGGGTGACGCATTTTAGAAAGGAAAACAAGACACCATCATAGCATCTTTGAAAGTAAGAGATTAATATTACTAGTGGTGGTACAGCCAGGGGTTAGGCAAACTGTGTGAATTTACTGGAATATAATTTCCCATAGAAACAAGTATGTCCAAGAAAATCTCTACTACTGACGAAATGCTGAGTGTTCACAGAATATATCAGATGTTCATTTTAGCAGAACACCTTCTAAAATTTGACCTGTTAATATACTTCTGAGGTCACTGAAGCATCCAGAAATCACATCATTTCTCCCACGAATCAAACTGAGTCAGTGTTTACAGCCTCCCTGACAAACAACGTTTCGTGGGCAATGTAGAAACAACACTGTTTATTCCAGCGGCCCCCTTGCCTTCACCTTCACCTCTGATGCACTGAAGGAACCGTGGGGGAGAAAACCCCAGACTGAATAATGTGGTGGTAACTGGACAAGACCAAATGGCAAATTGATTTTCTTCCAAGGGCAGAATTCCTCAATGGTTTGTAAAAAGAAATGTTGCTTGACAGAAAACGGTAACTTAGGAATGGAGTTCACATAGGTATAAAATGTTGGTGTTGGAGAATTTATAACATTCTGCAAACCTGTGTTTTATAAAGAAGAAACCTCATGCCCAAGAAAAACTGAATCATCTCCAAAAGAGTAGAAACCTAGAAGGTTTTGTACCCTTCCACTCTGCACTCTCCTCTGAAGCAGCTATTTCTGGTGACAACCGAATTAATATAAGCAATTCCAATGTCTCTCCTGAGCTCTAAACTTGCATATTCAGCTGCTTGCTTAATGTCTTTGCTCAGATGTAGAATAGCTAATGGGTACCATAAACTTTAAGTAGCTCAAAAATAATTTTCATTCTCATCCCACTCAAATGTATCGATCACTATTTTCTCATCTGAGTGAACAGTGTTACCCAATTGCATGAGTCAAAAATCTTGGATTTATCCTAATTTCTTCCTCACTCATCCTTTTTCATAAATATCTGAAAACTTAGTGT